GTGTTAACATGTATGTCAGAAATCGATGATTTTACAACAAGGAACCTATAAGCAGCACTATTATTTGCATATCCAATGAATACCAATAAATAGTTTTAGGTCCTAGTTTCGTTTTTTTTGGTAACAAAACTTGCACCTTTGCTAAGCAACCCCACGCTTTGAGGGTTTTATAAGTGGGTTTATGTCCTTTCCATAGTTCATAAGGTGACTCGTCAATCTTATTTAGAGGAACCTTATTCAATATGGTATTTGCAGTATGTAAAGCTTCACCCAACAAATTGTGTGGAAGCCCTAAACTATTTAACATGGAATTAATCATATCTTTGAATGTTCTATTTTTTCTTTCGGCAACACCATTTTGTTGTGGTGTGTATGGAGCTGTTGTTTGATGTATAATTCCATGTTATGCACAAAAATCTAAGAAGGTAGTAGATTCAAACTCTCCTCCTCTATCAGATCTAAGTGCTTTGATTTTTCTCTCAAGTTGATTTTCAACTTCGGCTTTATATGTCTTAAACATATTCAAGGCTTCGTCCTTGCTATGAATCAAATAAACATAGCAATACTTACTGCAATCATCAATAAAAGTGACATAATAATTCTTTCCTCCACGAGTTGGTGTGGATTTAAAGTCACAAAGATCACTATGAATTAATCCAAGTAATTCATTTGATCTTTCCAGAATTGACTTTCTCGTTTGCCTAGCAAATTTCGATTCAGTACATGTTTCACACTTATGATTAAAATCAATTTCAAATTTAGGTAATAATTTTAATTTAACCATTCTTTGCATGGAACAAAAATTAACATGTCCTAATCTAGCATGACAAATATTAAAAGACTCAACAATATAAGTAGAAGCATTTATTTTATTAGCATCATCAATGGCAATTACATTGAGTTTCACGAGGCCATCAACCACATAACCCTTTCCAACAAGCATCCCACCCTTGGTAAGTACAAATTTGTTGGATTCCATTACAAGTTTAAAGCCCTTAGCAATCAGAATAGGTCCAGAAACCAAGTTCCTCCTCATTTCAGGAACATGTAGCACATTCAGCAAGGTGAGACTCTTTCCAGATGTGAATTTGGGTACCACTTTGCCTTTGCCCTCCACCGCAGATGAGGCAAAATTGCCCATATACAGCTTTTCTCCATGGGCAGCAGGATGGTATTTAGTGAACAGATTTCTGTCAGCGCAGATGTGCTTGGTAGCACCAGTATCCAACAACCATTCACTCCCATTTGAGACCATGTTGACCTCGAACCCAACAGCAGCCAGTTCTTCATTGGTGGTTGCCATGTTAGCATGGTTGTTGTTTCCGTTGGCATGACCTTGCGATGATAACAATCTTGTGCCTTGTGATCAAATTTGCCACACACATAGCATGCACCCTTAATCTTCTTCAGATTCTTCCCTTTTGGAGCAAGGGCAAATTGTACAAACTGCTTGGTTTTCGAAGCCTTATTCTTCTTCAGCTTGGCCTTGGAGTTTCCTCCCTCAACATAATTTGCATTGGCTTCAATGGCAACAAACCCTCTAGAACAGTCTGCCTTTCTGTGGTCTTCTTCCACTCGTAGCCTCATAATCAAATCCTCTATATTCATCTCACGGCGCTTGTGCTTGAGATAAATTTGATGTTATTCTAGGAAGTTGGCAACTTTTTGATTATCGCCCCAACTTGGAAATGCTCATTGATCTCACATCCCTCGAAGTGCAATTCATAGATCAATTTCTGGATTTCTTCGACTTGAGAGACAACAGATTTTGAATCCACCATTGTATATTTGAGAAACTTACTGATAACAAATTTCTTTGAACCGGCATCATCAGTCTTATACTTTTTCTCCAAGGATTCCCACAACTCCTTCGCTATCTTGCACAGAGAATAAATGTCGTAGAGATTATCATCCAAACTATTCAGAATATAATTCCTGCAACAAAACTCAGAATGATTCCAAGTTTCAATTGCCATGACAGTCTCTTTCGTCATTGGATTCTCATTAGACTTCGGAGCTTCTTCCTTGATAACATGAGCAAGATTCATGGTTGTCAGGAAAAACAACATCTTCTGTTGCCATCTCTTGAAGTCCAGCCCCTTGAACTTCTTAGGCTTTTCAGAGTATTTTGGCACAGTGCCATTCACAGTCACAGATTATTGATCCATGATTTCGGTTTCAAGATTGTTGGATATATGTCAACAATATGTTATAAAATTATATATGCTAATAAATAATAAATGCAAATAGAAAATTAACAGAGTATAAACAGCGAAATAATGTTGAACATAAATATCGAAGATCAAGGCTTGCGTACCGCAATGTCCTTGAAACATAAATTTTGTCCCTACTCAGCTCTTGTAGTTCTACGAACATCTGCTTCACCAGGATTCAACGATTAAGTCAGAATTCCAGCTCCGAAAAAATTGACTTCTGGCGAATTTCTATATGGTTCTCTCAGTAAGGATGTTTTGGATTATAGAAGAAGAATTGTTTTTTCTGTGTACTAAATGCCATGCAGATGGATGTATATATAATATGATTATGCCTGTTTACAACAGGTATAAGGAAATGATGCATCTGTTGGGAGACATCTTCTCAGAGGGGTGCTGTACTCTCTGCATTTTTTTTTTCATTGGCTTCAGACTTCATCTGAAAAGATGAGTCTGTTCAAAAATAATTTAATTAAATTCAAAATTAATTAAAAATAATTAATTAAAGAATTTAATTCTCAGAGCCCAAGGCCCATTTTTTGATAATTAATTATTAATTAATTATCAATTAATTAGTACATCCCAAAACCCAACCCCAAGGGTGAGCCGATCTTTCGATAATTAATTATATATTAATTATATATTAATTATCAATTAATTAGTACACCCCAAAGCCTAACCCCAAGGGTGAGCTCACTTTTATTCTTCAAGACCTATCACTCCAATCACTTTTTATAAGGGACAAAGCCTTATAAAGTGGGGAAACCTTTTGGGAATGGCCAATGTGGAACAATGAAATTTATACTCAAAATTTCCAACTAAAGCTTGTGCTCACCTATGATGCACGAACACGGAATATTGGATACTACACAACATGAAAACGAAAAATTTCTAAAAATCAAGACATGGACATGGGGAATTAAAACAATAAATATTCAATAATAAAAATTTATATAACAATAATTTAGGCCAAAAATATCATATAAAATCAAAAACAAAAGATTGATGTTCATTAATAGTTTAACTGTCATCATCAGTTCACACCGAAAAAATAGAAAATAGCACCAAACATATCCAAATAAGATAGTACATTCCCCAACTTCAAGCTGTTGTACTTTTATGTGAAATCAAAAGCGAATTCGAACAAAATACCAAATATCAACGTCGTAGGTGAAAGCAAAGAAACAAACAATTTCAAAAATAAGAAAACAAGAGATTTAACATGGTTTGGCATAAAGCCTACATCAACGGGCGAAACACGATGAAGAATTTCACTAGACAAACAGAGATTACAAAAGAGTGTTTAAACTTTCATAACCCAAATCCCACAAATTTCAAACCTAAACCAAACGAGTAGAGAACTCAAAACAAGCGGAGAAGATTCTCCCAAATTGCTCTCTAACTCACAAATTCACACATGAAGGAGCCACACAAAATAAACTAACCCAAATATCCTATTTATAAAGCATAGGACTTAGGTTTACATAGGAATCCTAATAGGAAGTAATTCCAAATCCTAATCAAATAGGTAACTAACAAAATCTCTCCATCAAGCAAGGAAACCATCTAAGAAGTCAAAATCCAAACACAAATAGGACACCAAAATGAAATACGTAACAAATACCTAATTTCGAGACGCAAAACCCAACAATCTCCACCTAAGCGAGAAATTAGCGAACTTCCAAAAACAAACTTCAAACTGTTATACCAAAAATACAAACACAAAAGTGATCACCAAAACTATTCAAAGAATAGATCTCCAACTAGACTCAAAAAATCCAAAAGTCTTCAAACTTGAAATTTCCTCAAACGCCTTCTCCAACAAATTCATTATGGAAACTAACAAATACGAAACAAAATCCAAGCAAAAGCTTGAACATATGAACCAAAAAGTGTGAATTGCGCTCTACCAAAAGAGCTTGAGTACCAAGCTCTACCCCCACCCCTTTAGTGTGTTGGAAATTTTGAGTAGAAATTTCATTGTCCCATATTGGTCATTCCCAAAAGGTTTTCTTACTTTATAAGGCTTTGTCCCTTATAGAAAGTGATCGGAGTGATGGGCCTTGGAGATTAAAATTGGGCTCACCCTTGGGGTTGGGCTTTGGGGTGTACTAATTAATATATAATTAATTATCAAAAGAAGGCCATTAATTAATTATTTTTGGATTTAAATAATTATTTTTAATTAATTTCGAATTTAATTAATTAATTATTTTTTGACCAACAGACTCATCTTTTCAGATGAAGTCTGAAGTGTGAAAAAACGCAGAAAGAAAACACCCCTCTGAGAAGATGTCTCTCAACAGATGCATCCCTTCCTCATACCTGTTGCAAACAGGCATAATCATATTATATATACATCCATCTGCATGGCATTTAATATACAGAAAAAAAAACAATTCTTCTTCTATAATCTAAAACATCCTTACTGAGAGAACCACATAGAAATTCGCCAGAAGTCAATTTTTCCAGTGCTGGAATTCTGACTTGATCGTTAAATCCTGGTGAAGCAGACGTCCATAGAACTACAAGCACTGAGTAGGGACGAAATTTCTGTTTCAAGAACATTGCGGTACGCAAGCCTCGATCTTCTATATTTATGTTCAATATTATTTCATTATTCATACTCTATTAATTTATCACAGATTGTTGACTTATATCCAACATAGTGTAGATAATATCATTGTTCAAGAAAAAAAAAACTAACTCAATATTGAAATGAAAATCTTCACTGATTTTATAAATTTAATCATGTATACGATTTTTCATTTCAGCTAAGAATAACTTCTATATATGAATATAATTGTGAAGGGAAACAGGGTCTTTCCATGGATAGCAAATGTCGAATTGATGAGACGTATCATTGAACCTGCATGGCTTGTCAGCAAGTATAACCCATGAGCAACTACGACATTTTCCTTCATCTCTTTTCGAAACAAATATATCAAAATGGTGAGATTCTTGCTTCCAGGCAAAGCTGCAGTGATATAGTGTCGTCCCCCATATATTTGGAACAAAGCTGAAACGAAAAATGCCAATGGGGCTATCACCGCGGAGCTTTTGAAGACCAAGATCATCGTCTTTAGATTTGCAGTGAGCATTCAGATCCACCATGACGCCATTGATGATCTCGACAAGTACACGGTCTGCGAAACTAATACAGATGCTTACTGGTAATATTACAAACAGTATTAGAATCAACACACTTCTAATGATTGGAGCCATTCTTATTTTCTTAGCAATGAAACTTTAGTATAACATATTTCTTATATAAGATAGTATTGTAACTACTGAACACCCCAAATTATTGTGTAATCCCAAAATATTGTAACTGATGGTACTATATAATAAAGACATTAATTGTTTGTATGTAATTATCAACTTTCCTATTAGACTGAAATATATCTACTATATTTTTTTTTTTTTAACAAACGATATTAGCTTATCAAAAAAAATATATATATATATATTATTTATTAAAGGGGGTGTATTAAATTGAGATATAAATTTATGGATTTTAATAGAGTTTATGAGACTTCAATTGAAGATTTTAATTGATTTAGACGAATTCTGATGGATTTTAATCTTGACCATGGAAGGCATCTGAAGGGTTAAAATTGTGCCACATCATTAATAGTTGCACTAGAATTAACCATTTTTCACTTGTTCGGTCAATAACCTTGTTTTCTTCGCTTTTGATTTTGTTCCAGTGCTCCGCATATACTTCCCATCAGTTTCCATCCCTCATCCACCATATTTCACTCCACGAGATGTCTAATCTCATTTTCAAACTCAGATGTGAAAACCATGGCTTTGTGTATATTAGTTAAGTAATTGAAGGTCAGAGCGAACTTCTTGATTGTTCAGTTAGGTGGAAGACTCGGATTCAGTTGTGACTAGATGATTAGAGTTGAGAATTGGAGTTGAAGATAAGAAGATAAAGATGGATAAATGGGGAGACTACTGGAGATAAATTTGGTGATTGTGGAGGTAATCACGGTAAGGTGTTGGTCGACAGTAGATAGGGATGGCAATTCATTCCGATAATCGTGCATAACCGTCCGAATTGGGAGAAGTGGGGGACGAATATTAGGGTATATTTTTTGGATATGGTAAAAACCATTAATATTATTTTTTTACAATTTCAGATATGGTTATAGGCATACCCAATCCGTATTCATCCATGAATCCACCAGAATAATAATGATATAATATAACATAACATAACATAAACGTGTAATTTATCTGTATATGATATTCACAAGTATTGAAATTATTTGATAATTTTGTTTCATCTTCCTCTCTTAGTGGCTGTTGTATTTGCATTTGTCATCCCTTTTCTTTTTTCCTAGGACCAATTTACCTTAATTTGCTATCATATTTGGTTTATCATGAACACCTCCAGAAAATATTATTATGTTTTTTATGATTTGATTGAGGATATTTAATGAAGGAATTAGTATCTATTAAAATATAATGTGTCAGTTGAACGAATAATTGTTTTGCATTAACGAAGATGGAAATAATTGTTAACCGATGTGTAATCTGTTACCTAAATGGACATGGTTATGGATAATCTTTGATGATTAATTTGTAGTTATGGATATGGTTAATTTTCGTGGTTATAGGATCATGTGATCCAATATCATAGTGGATAGAGTGTGGAGTTTTCACCCATGCATTCTAGGTTTAAAACTCCCCTTTTTATAAATTATTGTAATAATTTTAAACCATTTCCCTCTCCTTAATAATAATAAATTTAAAAAAAAATGAGAAAAAGGAAAGAAATAAAAATCCATCAAAGTATGTGGCAAGAGTTGTTATGGCTTAACTTACACTATAGCATCCTATGAAATCCACCAAAATTTTTTAAAACCAATGATTTTTTTAATACATATGAACTTTTATGAATTCACATGAAATCCGTATTGAATACATTAGGATATCTATGAATTTTTATAAGAAATGCGAGCTACATTCCTCATTTCCCTTTCCTTACTTGCCTTACTCACTCACTTCAAGCCATATGGCATCAACTTACACTTACATCTATGATTTAATGTTTAAAGAATTTTATTCTTCTCTTTCCAAATACGCCCTAATTAATGTTTCAGATTATAACCATACAATTATTACATTCCTTTTTTATTAAAATTTTATTTTTTAAACATTTCTTAATTGTTCTGGATTTTTTTTTTTTCAAAATATTCTGTTTTTAAACTACTGGTGGATTTTTTTAAGACAATTATTACCTTTCTCATTTGCCTTTCCCCACATCTCTTTTCCACTCAATTCATGTCTGTGGAATCAACTTTCAAATACATTTATGTACTTAATGTGCAGAAATTTTTATTTTCCCTTTTTAATGCCCCTAATTAATGTTTTTATGTACTTAATGTGCAGAAATTTTTATTTTCCCTTTTTAATGCCCCTAATTAATGTTCCAGATTTAACTAAACAATTATTGCTTCTCATTTTTATTAAAACATTACTTTTTAAACATTCTAATTTGTTATGGATTTTTTGTTTAAATAAATTATGTTTTTTTGTAGCTCTTGGTTGAGCTGTCTTCCAATTTTATTTTCTTTTAAATAGTTCTTGATGTTCTTTTTTCTCATGCATTGCTCTTTTTCTAGAAACTCCACCTATGAAAGTTTATCTTACTATGTTAATTTTAAGCACGATTAAAGGAGGAGGAGAAGTGTCACGTCTCGACCCGCAAATAAGGACCATTAACGAGCTAGGGTGTGAGCCATATCTTAACTATAGAAATAAATTCTACAACCAAGATATGGTGGAAAATAAAATAATTTATAACGATTACACCATACATCATATAACAAAATCTTACATAAAATTTATTGAATACGCAACGGAATAACAATAGTGCACAAATTAATTCACAACAAAAACTACCAATTAAATAATAGTTAGAATGTAATAATTCTTTCAAATGAAAATACATGCAAATGAGATGGATGAATGTACTCACTCCCTTCTAATCCCGCTAACACATACCTAAGGCATCCAAGCCTGCACGTCCCATACCATGCTTATACCACCTGGCTCTTAGAATATGAGTTAACTCCTGTCCATACCTTAAACCCAATTTTCATAATTAAATTCTCAATTTCCATTTTATTTATATAGGTACTTCCATGGACGCCCAATTCCATATCCAAGCCCTTCCCCCAACGCTTGACATATACAAGATTCATTATTTTATATTCCAGGCAAACTCCAGCCCTTGAATATCCTCACAACTCAAACACTTTACACAAGTGAGCACTTGACACAGCACAACTCTTTTTTTTGCTTTGCATGAATGCTCATGTATATATCATGTATCGATAACTACATGCTCTATATAGAATCTGCAATACTAATCAAAATAGTTAGTAGCCAAAATTATATTATATTATCAATAACAAAGTATTAATAACACACAACAATATAATTGAGAAATATTACTTTACCGTTTTACTTCATCTCTCTCTAGGTGATATTGATCCATAACCCCATTTTGGTTTCATAAAGCAATTTTGTTGAAATATAGCTTGCTCGGTTGCATGCGTCTTAACCCCAACATCGTCGTCGTTCGCCATGGCTACCATCGGTGAGTGTGACTGGCCAAGCGTAGCAGTTGCTGTTGCTGCTTGGTGGTGGTGTTTTCGAGACCAGTGAGGTGATCGAGACTGACGTTGTTGGATGCCTTGATCATTTGGGGTATAAAACTCTAGTTGTTTCCAGTTGTCTATTAATGGGATTTCGTATCATTACTTCATTTTGATCTGGCTTTGGGTGTACTGATGAAACTTTGATCGTTAAGTAGGAGTGTTTTGCATGGCAACAATCTCAAAATATGAATGCATAATTTAAGTGGTTCACCAATTCGGCTACGTCCATTAAGATGGTGTTTGTATTTCAATTTCACTATATATGGAGGATTTACAATACATGATTTTGGCTTAAGGACCTTAACAACATGTCAAGAAAGGTAAAAGTAATCTTAAAGGGGTGAATGGATCTTCTTGCTGGTTATGTTGTTGTTGTTGCTGGTGTGGTGTTGTTTCCCCCTGTTTCTCTCCTACCTCTACTTTTATGGATGAAGAAATGGAATCCACAATTAAGCCTTCAATAACATATCTCAAATCTTTTGCTACATGTGGACATCTTGTAATTGGAAGCAATAGTATCTAATCATGTTATAATCATTACCATGCATGTGGACAAATACTCAAAAGCCATGTCCAAACTATAAGGGATATGAATCCCACCTCTCCATTTTATTTTTTTTTTTGGGGGGGTGGGGGGGGGGGGGGGGGGGGCGGGGGGTGTTGTGTTGGGAATCATCACCAATCATTAACTCCTAAAAATATAATCACATTTCTACAATTCAAACTAAAAATATCTCTAGTTACATACGGACATGAAATAATACTGGCTAGTTTTTGAAATAGTTTTATAACAATCATCACTTAGCTAGTTTTTGAAATAATACTAGCTAGTTACATACGCACATACACACACATATAAATTGACACACCCCGACCAAAATCAAGGCGTGTTGGCCGTCACGTGAGAGTGATGTAACCATGTGCACAGTGTGGAAGCTAAGAATAATAATAAAAGTACGAACAAATAAAAGCCAAACTACACACAAAGTAATTAACATGCATGTGCAAGCGTACGTGTAAAAAATAATATTCAGAGCACAGAAAACCTAGTGCAATCCAGAGGAACAAACACCAACTAAAATACACCCAGAGGGGGTCCTACACTGGTGAGAATCTGTCAGACATGTCGTGAATCCCTCGAGAGCCACCAAAAGAGCAATCCAAACCAGAACATGAAGGGGCGCAAAACAGAAAGTGTGAGTGGACAAAAACAAAGCTTTTAAAAATCATTTCATTATCAAAAGTTCTAACCCCTCGCCGTAAAACCTGTATAGTTTCCCAGAAAAATAGAATATACACATATATAGAAAACATGCTCAGAAAATATGCCATGTCGAATGCCTCCACATAAAATGTAAGTAGACCAGGTAATGCCAATCAATGCAAGTAACATGTCAGAGTCACCTAACGTGACCTGTACGGCTGAATTTAGAGCTCAAATCTCCAACTCACTAACTATACCTGCACACGAGTCGAAACCACCTAAAATGGTATGTACGACAGGATTGGGTGTAAATGAATACGCTCAAGGGCTACGATCACGTGAAGACTGGGTGAATAATCGCGAGTCACCTATGAGTCGGAACCACCTATAGTGGTCTGTACGACAGGACTGTGCACCTAACTTGGATCCAAGATAAGCGTGTGGTGAGGGAGGTGAACATCACGTGAAGGACTGTGCCCTACTCTGGGTGGGAGCATTAACACCGGGGGTGCAGGTTATGAGCTCTTTATGCATCTCACATAACTACTAATTAAAATTCATAATCATAACTTACCTGGCACTTATATGTACGCCCGTAGCACCAAACATACATATATGCAACTACTATGCACAAATAGATTGGCAAACACTATGCATGGCATTTAAAACATATAAACATTTCATTTCATTTTCTGGGAAAAACCACAGTATATAGGTATATATGAAAAACCAAAAGCCCACTCACTGGTATGTAGAAGGGTCGTAACCCCCTTACCTCAAGTGACTCCGCTCGTCCTCGAGATAGGTCTCACCTATATGCGAAACAACTATAAAAACGTTAATTTAAAGCACATAACCAA